AATATGGGTGTTAAACACAAGAGCGCTAAGAAATCTTCAGTTTAAACATCAAAATTTCGTTTGATGGTTTGAAGAGAGTTACCAGCTGTTGAAAATTTTTAATTTAAATGAATTATTAAGTGAAATAAATTACTAAAAGAGGTGATTTAATCGTTCATGGGTTTGAGAAGGATTTGTATCTGAACTGTTTAGGAGAGTTGCCAGGTGATAAAAAAATTTAATTCAATTGAATTCTTTAGGTAATTGAATTATTTATCAAAGTATCAAACGAAAGAGCTTTAAAAGATTTCAGTTTGAAAGTGCTGCGCAGAAGGTTGCCACCTGTTTGAAAAGCCTTATTTATTTTGCTTTCACACAATGTTAATGAAGACACGATTTCACGCCCTTAGACTTTTTTGTGCCATGCCGTGAAGGACCGATAAAATGCGAACAATCTATTCAGGCCTTTAATGCGTATATCGGGCATTTCTTACGATAGAGCCAGAAACCATCAACAAGGTCTTGAAGAACTCGGTTAACAGGATGCGCTACTGCGAAGACAGTCACATGATGAAATCGGGTTCCATAACTAATGGGGGGTTTATATGTCATCAGATCAGCACCGTCATTCTAAATGTGCATTAAGGTTTTATTTTTTGAGGCTACAACCTTTTTTAGCGGTGCACGGTGGTTTGAATTTTGAGGAAATGGAAAACCGACGTCATTTGAGACCTCTCTTCGTTCAAAAAGGGATGGACGAATTTACTTGAAACATTTGCAATATTTATAAAGGTTTGTGAATGGTGTTGCCATCTGTTTAAAATATTAAACTCAATTTTGGCGTCTTAACGCCATGCGGGTCTACTAGTTATGTTTAACATTGAAACGTAAATTTTCGTATCTAGTATGCTATTCCTATCTTTTACTATCTAACTGATCTCTATATAAATGACTTCATCTGTTTCAAGCTCTTTCGTAGTGATTACAACAAATACACACTTCGTTACTGTTATTACATTTTATAGCTTTTAACTTAGCTTTAAGTACTACGAATTCATAGATAAAGCTCCCCTCAAATCGAAAGCACTCATTCTTCCTGATTATATTGTAACCTAAACTTACCTATTTTTAATAAAATTAGCTGGAGAAATACTCTATAAAAAATTGGCCGCTAATGGGTTAAAATATGGTCATCAATGCGTTAAGTCAAAGTCGTAAATGGGTTAAATTATTCATAATTTGCACAATAATAAAATCAAATTAACTTAACATAAGATATTACAAAAAACTGGGTCACCAATGGGTTAATGCATGATCAGTAATGGGTTAAGACGCCAAAAATTTACTCTAAAAAAGTAGTTCAAGCGAGTCTAATGGAAAGAAAATGATCCCAGAATTTTGACCACCCGCTTATATGGGGCGGCCCCAGTGTGCGATGTTGGTAAACATAACCATCCTGTTTTACTCTGAGTGTTCTTCTGCCCCGCTTTTGCAAGAATTAGGTATAAAGACAATTGGCCGCGAAGTGTTGAGAGACGAACATCTGAGCTGTTTGACACCCAACAATCTGCTTAGGTTTATTCGTAAATCGTGCAGATTTAACAAACATCAAAAGGGACATGAAAACTGTATAATGGATGGCACGTAGTCTGAGTGCTGTTTTAAAACTTCCATCTTCCTCCTCACTACAACTCAATTCAGAAGCAAGCAATTTTGACTTCCTCTTTTGTGAGTTAAAAAAGAAAAAGCGCTGTGTTACAAAATTTATTACTACCACGCCACTCAAAATATTACTTCTCATAAAAGAGCGTTCTGTCTCTTTTGCTTATATAACTTTCATAACTCAGCAATTTTCATCGTTGATAAACTCATTAAAGCAGCAGTGAGTGATACATATTTTTCGCATCACTTTAAAACCCGGAGCGATAAAAATAAAAGTGATGCCATACAAAAACACAAATACAGTATATTTTGCTTTGCTGCCTTTATGCTTAAGTGCGCATTTAAGATACCTACCCCAAAATGTGCATCAGCGGCATTATTTTTAACATTTATAAGGAAACTGGTCCGATAGATGCATTCAACAGCCTTAAAAGTTGTGCAACTATTATCAATTATCAAATAAAGTATTGCTTTGACCTGCACCGGCTCTAACTTACACTAATTTTACAAACTTTAATTTAACTTGCTTATCTCAGAACAACGAAAACGGCTATCATTTTATGTAGTTATATAGATATTTAGATACCATTCTACCTTCCTCATTGAAGTAGTAAAGAAAATTCGCTTAAGTGCTTTTTTCGGTTAGGCGCACAGGTTTTTCGTGCAAAGAAGGATGGGCCGCTAAGCAAACTATAATGCAAACTATTTTACAAATACGCCACATGCAAAATCATGGATGAGCTGAACATGTGAGGAGTTTATGGTGAAGATGATGTAAATAACGCTAGCGATCGGAGTGGTCTTAAAACATGTGACTTCTCGGAGTGAGAGCTCTGTTATTTAAAACTTGCAAGTGTGCTATCACAATATTTTAATAAATATAACACAAGAACATATACCATTTTTATTTTCGCCACTCCCAATTTAGGTTATGAGCTCAGCCGCGATGCAAATTTCCATCGTAACATCTAATCTTCACATTTATTGACGAACTTTGGGAAAATGTTTGAAATACAGCACCAGGGGGTCCACCAAAACTAGAAAAAAAGTTTGGAAACCTCTGCCTTAGGCTCAAAAGTGAGATTATCCCAATTAGGGATAAAAAATTGACTTCTGTCACTGTACAAGGAGTGACATAATTCCAAAATTTAAAATTGGAGTTATGCCACCTGCAGTTATGTTTTGGTGCCTCAGCAATCGAATAGGCTCGGAGCTGGTGACTAGGAGGCCATTCATTCGACCAACCCTATACAGTTTTTTTTTTCTTTTTTATACAAAGTCTAAGAAAAAATGCACCTGAAAAAGACATGTAATTGTCTCCCAAAGTATCTCCCGAAGCTGGCAAACGCAAATAAGAATTTAAATTTTAAAACTAATTAATAAAACTAAAGTTAAATATTTACAAAGTTAACAACAAAATACTTTTTTTCGCAAAATCTATAAAGGACCTGTGCGACAGTTATTATTTTACGCCGTGTACTTTGCTATTCATATTGTGACGAACACTATTAAGGCCGGTTGCTCAAAGCCTGGTTGACACTAATCTCCGGTTAAACATCGTTATCGTCGTTACCGACACCATGTTACATGCATGGAGTCGAAAACGTCGATAACGATGTTAACCGAAGATTAGTGTCATGTCAACCAGGCTTTGAGCAACCGGCTCTTAGTACGCAAAGTCGTAGACAGGTAGATGCAGAGCGATCGGGTATAAAAATCAGAAAAATATTAAATTAGTTATAAGGCTTAAATTAAAAATTGGCAGAGTCTGGAATTCTTTTGTGAAATTTAGTTATTTATTTTTAACATTTATTGTTGCTTTTAAAAAGATATCTAAGATATCTTTGTTTTTTTTTGTACCTAATTAATGAAAACGATCTCAAATATGTGATTATACATATGTATATTTTCTTTTTGGTAACTTGTATCAATAAATTGCACAAAAAATTTAAAAAAAAAATTGTACTCCTTTTTTATGTTTGTGCTGCTTTTTTTCAATCGAATAGAAATGTACTCCTTTCTACATTTTAGAATCTGGTAACCCTACTCTAGGGGCACTTCTGCATCAAAAAGAAAATGTTTGAAAACTCAAATTACAGCATCTTGTCGGAAATAATAACTAAATTGGAAGGAAAAAATCATTCGCTGAACAAGTGCATCTTGTGGAGACTGCTGTTACTACCATTATGGTTTAACTTGGGCAAAAAATCAAGGAAAAATCAGTTATAGAGTGGTGTTGTTCGGAAATTCGTTTATTGAGCTGAACTCAAATTTCTAAACAACGCCACTATGTGACTGCCAAAATGTACAAATCTGTACAAATGTACAAATCGTGTGATCCCTGCTTAATAGCTATAATCCCAGTAACCTAGCGTGCTTCATAGCAATCCAAATCACCAGTGTTGACGTAGAAAGAACGTTCTGCTTATACAAAACGTTTTTGCGGCCCAATAGGGAAAGCTTTAACTTTAAAGATTTTAAAGAACTATTTACCTTATTTGCCAATAAAGCCCTAAACAAAGCAAATTAAAAAAATAAAAATTATGCAAAATAAGTATGTATTTTTAATTTATTGCTAATGAATTTTTTACTTTCATTTTAAGTGCTTAATTTTTTAATACATATTTTACAATTTTAGATATGTTGTACGTTAATATTACCAAGAGTTTCAAACTGGAAAATGAAAAACGCGTGTGCTTCTGCTGATAGTCGCTCGTTTTTTTATTTAGCAAGAAGGAAGGAATTATAACAAATGTCATTTACAATGGTATAGTTGTAAAGGTTGGCAGCAGTGCGTTTAACCCATATGTGCACTGGCAGATATGAAGCCAACATACCGCCACCTTTGAACTACCTGGATAAGTTCAACAAGAAAGAAATTACAATAAAGATTATTAATTTTAAAAAGGGCAATTTTTATCTTAAATGGATATGTATTCGTAAGTAAGGCTCTACAAATTCTCCTCGGAGAACAAATCTCCTTTGGTAGGAAGCAGGCAAAGTTTCACGGTGGGCCGTACGAATTCTCCATCTGGCGTTCGCAGCGTGACCACTCTTACCAGACCATCGTCTCCAGGATGGCATTTTACCACTCTTGCAAGCGTCCACTTTGTCGGCGGGGTAGGCTTGTCAAAGACGGCAACAACATCTCCTTCCTCGATATTGCGGGACGGTCGGAACCACTTGGCGCGGCGTTGCAAGCCTACGAGATATTCATCTCTCCATCGGCGCCAGAAATCCTGTCTCATTGCGGAAATTAATTGCCATCGCTGATGAAGGTTTCCATTGAACCCTTGATCCTCAGGTTCTGGGAGACACTTCAGGGGTTCGCCCACTATAAAGTGCCCCGGTGTGAGTACCTCCAAGTCGCTAACATTTGTTGAGTTGTCGCACAAAGGCCGAGAGTTCACGCAAGCTTCAATTTCAGTCAATAACGTATTGAACTCCTCGTATGACAGGAGAGTATCGCCTAATGTACGTTTCAGATGGTACTTAACACGTTTGATGCCAATCTCCCAGTAGCCACCCATGTGGGGTGCGGCTGGGGGGTTAAAACGCCAATCAATGTTCAGATCGCTAAAAAATGACCGAAATCTGTCATCAGTCATGCACTGTTGTAAACTGTTGCGCAGATGCTTTTCGGCGCCCACAAAATTTGTGCCGTTGTCCGAGAACATGACCTTACAAAAGCCTCTGCGGTTTATAAACCGTTTAAAAGCGTTGAGAAAAGCGGGCGTCGACAGGTCTCCCACGAACTCTAGATGCATGGCCCCAGTGCACATGCAGATGAAAGAACATATATACCCTTTGATGGATTTCGCTCCTCTTCCATGTGTAAATTTGTACACATAAGGGCCAGCGAAATCTACTGCACTGCGGGTAAAACAACGAGCGTATGTAGCCCTAGCTTCGGGTAAATTCCCCATTGATTGTTGAGCTGTATTACGGTTTAATAAGGTACATTTGACACATTTATGGTATATGTTTCGAATTAAACTGCGTGCACCAACAACCCAATAGCGCCGCTGCAGGACAACCTGCATAATCCGAGGACCAGCGTGTAGAGTAAATTTGTGAATATCTGCCACTATTAGCTTTGCCAGTGGAGAGCTCTTGGCCAATATTACAGGATGTTTTACGTCAGACGACACATTGGAGTGCTTCAGCCTGCCTCCAACACGAAGGATACCGCTTTTATCAACAAACGGCTGTAACTGCAAAAGACTGCTACGTCGTGGAAGTGGCTTTTTGGCGCTACAAAGATAAATTTCATTGGAAAAGTAGAACTTTTGAGTGTACCTTATGAGTTTTAGCTCTGCGACTTGGATTTCTTTGCTGGTTAAGGGTCCTGTTTGCTTGCGAGGCATTGTTTGCGCGCAACTGCGCACGTTGTCGATGAAGCGCATCACATAGGCCGTAACTCTTTTCAGCTTCGAGAATGAGGAGCATTTTTCGAGAAGGGTCCATTGCTGCGATGGTTCAGCTACATTTACGGCAGCAGTTTTCTTACGCAACTCAAGCTGAGTGATGTGATCTTGTCGCTTGACCTCATGTCGTACGTAGCTAGATGACGACAACCACGATGGACCGTGCCACCACAACTTATGTGACAGCAAACTCGATGGCGACATACCCCTGGAGGCACAGTAGGCAGGATTGCTTTCGGATCTGACATGCGCCCAGCATTCGGAGGGTAGTATTTCCTGCACTTCCGCCACGCGATTCGCCACGAATGTAGACCATCGGCTAGGGTGACTTTGTAGCCAAGCCAATGTCACAGTTGAATCTGTCCACCCGAACATGCGACTTTCTGGCGAGCACACACAAGCGGTGATCTGCTTAATGAGTTTTGCTCCCAGGTGAGCAGCGCACAGCTCCAGTCGGGGTAAAGTTGTAGTTTTCAGCGGAGCAACCTTCGACCTGGATGCAACTAGATTGACCACGATCTTGCCGTCTAAGTACTTAGTACGTGCATAGGCCACGGCCGCATACGCCTTCTCCGAAGCATCTGCAAATACATGAAATTCGGTGTGCGCATTTGGGCTCATACCCAGCCAACGGTTTAATTTAAGGTTAGACAACAATCGAAGCTCGTCACGATGAAGGTACCAATCTTTCGCTATTTGATCGGAAACCGGTTCGTCCCAATCGACATCAGTGCGCCAAATCTGCTGAAACCAAATTCTCGCCTTTATAGTGCAAGGCGCGATTAGACCGAGCGGATCGAAAGTAGTGCTGGCATCCGACAGGAAACCTCTTTTGGTCAGTATAGTAGGAGGTGTCTTAAGACTTACCGCATACGTCAAGTAATCGTGAGACGTGTTCCACGTTAACCCCAGCGTTTTCACTTCCCCGTTTTCAGCTAACAAATGATTTATCGGCGTTGTGGATGTTGGAATCTTATCCAAAAGCTGCTTGCAATTACTGGCCCATTTCCTCAGCTCAAATCCGCCTTCTAAGAGTAAATGAGATACTTCACTTTGACGCAACACAAGCTCGTCCGCGGTATGAGCTCCTGTAAGGAGGTCGTCCATATAGAAATCCCGTAGAATGATTTCCGCAGAGGACTGAAATTCTGCCATGTTATGCTTAGCAACTTGCTGCAACGCCTTCACAGCCAAGTGACTTGCAGCAGCTGTACCGTAAGTGAGACGAAGTATACGATAGTCTTTCAGTTCTTCGGTTGGCGCATCTCTCCACACGATTCTTTGGAAATCCACATGCTTCTCGTGAACATATACTTGGCGGTACATTTTCGCTATATCGGCGGTCATGGCATAACGATGCATACGGAAACGCAATAGAATGGGAAATAATTCTTGTTGTAATGGTGGGCCAACCATTAATGCATCATTTAACGAAAAACCTGAGGAGGATTTCATCGATGCGTTGAACACAACTCTTAATTTTGTTGTTTCACTTGTCTCTTTTAATACCGCGTGATGAGGCATGTAATAACAGGATGAGGGTCTATCACGGACGCACTCCATGTGACCCAACCGCAACAGCTCATGCATGAACTCCACATAGTGCCGACGTAGGTTTTCGTTTGCAGCTAATCGCTTCTCAAGCCTGTAAAAACTGCGTAATGCGACAGAACGGGTCTCGCCTATAGGCACAGAAGGTTTTAGAGGTAGCTGCACAATGAAACGCCCGTCTGCCGCACGTTGGTGTGTTGAGTCGAAGAGATCTTCACAGAACTTTTCTTCGTTCGTGAGATGTTGCCGATGCGGGACCTGGTCAAGCTCCCAAACTTTGCTTAAAATCTTAACAAGATCTACATCGCAATGTAGGCTCGGGACCTCCGCGTGTGTAGTAGTTGTTGGATTTCTGGTTCGTCCAAAGAGAACCCATCCGAGTGCTGTCCGCTGAGCCAGGGGTGTACCAGGAGGGCCTTTGCGTAGATCAGTAGTCAGAAAATGCTCCATTTCGTCCATACCGATGAGTATGTCGATGGGAGCTGGTGTGGCAAAGTGCGGATCTGCCAGTGTAAGTCCTTTGATGTGCTGCCAATCTGCGACGCTCACGCAGGTCGTAGGTAGATCGCTAGTTATCTTTGGCAAAACTAAGGCGTTGATGACGTAAGACGGCTGTAATTGCGATGACGCGATAGTAAGGAGTACCTCACCCCTTGGCCTACCGCTTGGCGTAGAGCCTATGCCTGTGATCAAGATAGCTGATGATCTTCTTGGAAGACGTAGTTGTTGTACGCAACGCTCTGTGACAAATGAAGCGTGCGACCCACTGTCGAAAAGTATGCGCATAGCGTGCCAGCGGCCGACGTAGTCACGTACATTGGCTACTGCGGTAGCCAGTAATATGGCGTTGTCTGCTTCGGCGTAGTGTGATGTCATATTGCCACCCTGCGACCATACTGTTGCTTGTTGAACATCTCCGTTGGGGGCCTGGTCTTTAGCAGGTGACAAGAATGCGGATGTGCCGCACGGTGGAAACTCTGTTATCGGTAACGGTGCAGCTGGTGCACTATTACAATTGATGTCTGCTCCATTAGACTCCCGCTTCCCTGCAGGAGTAGTGAGCTCAGCTGCCCTTTGTGACGAAGCCAGCGCTGACGTCGGCAGCGCAGCAAGGACGCTGTCGTGGCTTCGGTATAGCGCATTGACAGGACCAAGAGAACTAGTTGCTAGATGAGTATGCTTTTCGCTAGACACCCGGTTGGGTGCAGGTGCAGCGCATGATGCTGTATCAGCTGCCGCTGCTGATGTTTCGCAAGGGCTATTCGTGTTGTTGTAGCTTTCATGGAGTAGCGTGTGGTGCCGGCGACCACACCTCAAACAATTGGACGTGCTCTTGCAATTTGATGCTTTGTGATCCTGACGAAGACAGTTGAAACATGCTTCCCTTTGTTTGATGATTTGTGCTCGAGCAGGCGGGCTTAGCTCCTTGAAGCTGCTGCAGGCGTAGATTCTGTGCTGAGAAGAGCAGTACGTGCATGAATCGGCTCTTGAAGATTGCGTGTGGCGAGGCGAATGTCGATTGGATGAACTTGCCGCATGCAACACGGCTGCATTACTGCCCCTTTTGCTGGTTGGTCCGCCACTACCAGGTGCTAGTACCTCTAGCGATCGGCACCGGCTCTCGAGGAATGTTTGCAAGTCGTTGAATGTAGGCAGCTTATCATTCGTTAATGACAACTCCCACTGTTTCCGGGTTTCATGTGGAAGTTTAGATAACAGATAATATACTACCCAATCATCCCACGCCTCTACTGGCCGTTCAAGCGCCTGCAAAGCCCGTATGTTTTGCAACATTGAATTGAGAACGTGTTTAAGTGTTTGTGCTGTTTCGTTCGTAACTGGCTTTATGTTGAATATTGCGCGAAAGTGACTATCAACGATGATTCGCATCACCTTATACTTTGAGCAAATCAGATCCCAAGCCACATGGTAATTTGCCTCCGAAATTGTTAGGTTAGAGACGACCTGCAGCGCCTCGCCTTGAAGGCAGCTGCGAAGATAGTGCAACTTCTGGTAGCCTGAGAGCGTCGTATTATCGTGCACCAATGCCTTAAACGAATCGTGGAATAGAATCCACCCAGTTGAGTCACCACAAAATTTGGAAAGCTCGATTCTGGGTAGGCGCACTGCCGTAGTCGACGTCTCGATAGCCTGTGTTACTGCCGTGGGTGTACTGGCGATAGGCAACGATGTTTGACTAAGCACTTGCTTGAAGTTACAAAGCGCCTCCACGTACCAGGCTTCTGCCTGCACACGCGCTTGCTCTTCAGCATCAATCGTTTCGACTCCACATGAAACCTCTACCGCATCCTGTGCCTCCGTGAACTTTGCCCATTGCTCTTCTAGAAGCTTCACGTAGCCTTCAATTTTTGAGCTACTGAATCCGTTGGCTTCGTTGATGGAAACAGCCAAGTATCTCTTGATGGTCTTCAACGCTGCATCGCGCAGTTTGACCGTCATGATCACGTGTCCAACGTAACCTCAAATTTGCAGGTTACGATGTAGGTGCTGCAATCGTTGCAACGATTTTTGGGCTTTTTACGTCGTGCAGTCGCGAGACTTTAAGATTAGTTAAATTATAAAAGTGGATTGTTTAAAGATATGCTTCAGTCCCGACTGCGGAATCCGGTTCGTTGGACCAAAATAATGTACGTTAATATTACCAAGAGTTTCAAACTGGAAAATGAAAAACGCGTGTGCTTCTGCTGATAGTCGCTCGTTTTTTTATTTAGCAAGAAGGAAGGAATTAGAACAAATGTCATTTACAATGGTATAGTTGTAAAGGTTGGCAGCAGTGCGTTTAACCCATATGTGCACTGGCAGATATGAAGCCAACATATGTTTTTAATTAATTTTAAGTTTTTCGTGGCACTAAAGATTGCAATATATCCTTGTGTTAATTATAAACTTGTAATACAATATGAAAAGTAAATAACAAAAATTAAAAAAGCAAAAAAAATGCGAGAAATCCTTTCGCATAGTTTGTTTGTTTTTAGTGCATATTTTGGAGTTTTAAGTGCATATTTTTGATTTTTTAGTGCATACAAATCCGGGCCCTACTTATGACATTTGAAAAACTAGTTTTGATGTGCTTTTTTATAAAAATCAAATAATTTTTCTTTATTGTATCGCGATCAAATAGGGGCGTGAAGGAAATGAAAATTCTATGAAAAACTTGCGTTTTTCTTAATTAAAAGACCAATACTAAGCTTTTCTCCGGACGATTTTCAAACTTTTTTCTTTGTTAGAGAGTAAAACTCGTATCATTCAAACAGAGAAGAAAATTTTTAATTCGATCAAAAAACAACAAAGTTATAACTTCTGGAAATTGTAATTTGAAGAATACCAAAGTTGTATTATATTTGTTAGAAAAGAAGTAATAAGCGAAGTGATGGAGAAAAACTATAAGTACAGTCGTGTCCTATGGGCTATAACAAAACATAATTTCTATATGAGAACCAGTGTTGCCGCGACAACAAAAGATAGATCAAATGTATCACTATTTTTTTTTTTAAAGTATCAAAGTATCAAGTTACAAAAAACTTACAACTTGACTTGGTTTCATACCTTTACTTTTTATTATTGTCAATAACCAAAAAATCATGTAATGCACATTCATACTTATACGTATGTAAATGAAGAAAAATATCTTAGATATAGTGAGAAAACTTGAATACAACTATATCGTCGCTCGAATAAAGAACCAGTGTAAATGCCACATACACTATTATTCGATAATTGCACCATTGGATAGACAATCCTTTAATCCATTAGAAAAATCTTTAGTTTGCTTAAATATCTCTTTGGCTCACTAATATATTCCCGAAAAACGAAATTGTATTTGTATGGTTTGTAATGGTTTATAAAAACATCCAGTTCGTTTTTCTCAAAACTATACTTTTCATGTTACACTATTTCATTATTCTAGCGACGATATATAGGCTGACTTCTAAAACGTATCAATACAATGTTTGGAAACTGTTATACTGCAGTATTCAAACTGTTTGTATATGCAGATTTGTGACACATTGCAACCATATACATTGCATATTTTAAATATTCAATATAGCAGTGCACAATTTTTCTGAATTTTTCATTTCTAAAACACCAATGCTAACCAATAACAAACGAAGCATCAACTTTGTTTCTGATGCGCTGATTGCTCTAGCGATGCGTTTCGATAACTTTTCGCATGCGTTTTGGAACAGTATACATTCTCAATATTTTGTAGTTCGACGTTATGGAACCTTATACTTTGTACGTATGCAAAGCAATTGACTTTTTGGAGGTCAGCCATACTTAAAACTATTAACTGTCGATCATTTACGTTGATTATAAAATTGTGTGATACTTCCACGTTAAACTATGTAGTTGGAAATATTGTCAAAAAGATGAACCAATGATACAAAAAAGAAGGTAGTTTCAATAAACAACTTTTTGATTAAAAAGCAGATTTTTGACAATTGCTCAATTGTGAAAAATTCGAAGCGGCGTTACCCAATTGTAAGTTTTTTGATGTGGGAGATTTTATATAATAAATTTGGGATTATAAATAAAATAGTTGTGTTAATATTTACCTTTTAAAAATAATTAATATCTTATCTTAAAAACGTTTAAATTTTACATTAAATTCAATAACAACTTGCCAAATCATTATTTTAATATTAATACAATTTCAGTGAACATATTTTAAATTTTTTTTAGTGTCCTCATGATTATTTCACAATGTAGTTTTCTATATCGGATACGATTATTCTGATATAATTCAGACACTGAAATCATACATTTCGATGTGTTATTTAATACATATTGTCTTTGTCCATTTAACAACAAATGGAATTCACCTTGGGACTCATGGGTGGTGAAATTTTTCCAGCAACACATATTGTTTTCACAAGAAATTTTGACACACCCAAAAGTGAAGTATAAAATAAATAGATAAACACCAATTTTCAATCAAACTGTTTTGTGTAGTTCAGGGGCGTCTTTTGGTAAATGTTCTGGAGGCTGTTTAAATATATCCTATCTTATTATATATTTCTTAGCTTTACTACATTCTGAGAAGTTGAGAGAATGAAGTCTAATGTTCTCTTTTGGTCAACTACGACGTTTGATTTCATTTTTTGCAATCATTAGTTCATTTCCCTTGAGGAGCCGCAATGCCCATACCGGCTATACCGATTTTTTTTTTTAATTTCGGACACAAATTTTCCAAGAATGTTTATAGGCTAAAACAAAACCGATATCTAAAGGGGGTGTGGAACCTCCCATACAAATCGAATTTTTCATAGTACATATCTCTGGAAGTATTTATGGTAGAGTCCTCGAACTTGGTATGGATATACGTATGTATATGAAGTCAATCTCAAGCTCATGGAAAAATATGGGTTTATTGGAAAATGCAGCGTGCCACCGTAGAACTTGAAATAGAGGTAAATGAAATCAATCCCAAACCTATGAAAAATGGGGGTATATGAAAACGATCTCGTAGCCATTGTAAAGAGCTAGCGGTATAAGCCATATAAACTAAAATTATGGTGTCGCATAGATACCTCTGGAAGCATTTACCTAGAATACTGAGATGAGGTATTTTTCCAATGGAAATATGTACAGAAAAACGGGTACGATACCTTCCGGAAAATTACATGATCACAGGGTGTATCCCTGGAACCATTTTAAGCTAAACCTTGAGAGATTACATTCTTGCCAAGACCAACAGGCATAAGCTGAAATTGCGTCGCCAGTTTTACGATCGGCTTGTGTAAGGTTAACCACTTACCTCCCCTTGTTTTCGCCGCTACTGAATTCTATAAACTGTCAGCTTTCACACAATTTAAAATGTACACGTGTATTTAAAAATGTCACGAAAATTGTGTTGCTAGCTTCATGTTGCAAGATTTTTCACAGCGTGAACAGAATACTACTTTGCCGAGGAAATGTTGTGGAATTTCAGAGAAACAAATTTTACGTGCAATTTAACAGCTTTTTCACGTGAAATAGGAATAAAATACTATGCTTAAGAACAAAGATTTTTAAATCGAGAAAAAATTAATAAGAAAATTTGAAGGATTTTAGATATTGGGTATGGTAGCACGAAATGTCACAATCTGCTTAATTGTCAGGTTGTTAATATGGCGACGAAAAAGTGACAATGGAACTACCTTGTTTTTTGTATCATGGATGAACCTACCTTCAGTATCGACTTTATTTTGACCATGAATACGCCCCGTTTTATTTTCAACAGTTTGTAATGAAAGTCCTTTTCTCTTTTGTATTGGATCAATTTTACAAGTGGAGCTGCAGAGCTACATATCGAGGGCTTATATTCAATACCCTCTATCTGCAAAAACTCAATTTTTCAGGAGAGCAAAAAAACTGTTTTGGCAGCTGTTTTTAAAAGTGTTAATAATTTTAAGTACACACGCATGTCTTAAATATTCACGCAATATACTAAAACTAGTTTTTTACTTTTAATTCATTTAATTTTAGTTTAAAGATCAGATAGAGGTTATTGCAATTCGAATTATAACTATTTATATAGAAAAATTTGCTGATAGAGGGTTTTGCAGAATAATGAAAATGTCAGTTCTTTAGACGTAAATACTATGTTAAACTAAGATTTTAATGCAGAAATCATAGGTGTGAAAATTCGTTCCCTTCTATTCCGATGTGCCCAGGTAACCACATAATTTTAAATGTGTTTTTGTGTCAAAAGAGTATTTCACGTGATTTCGAAATTATATGAGAATCATTAGCACTGTTAAAAGAGGCTTCGCTGGCTGGTTTACTGTCCGTTCAGATGAGGAAATTTCCTTCGTTTATAGAGGCGAAACGTACAGCTGATTCGGCTGTAAATGCCGAGCAGTACGGGGGAAAAGCACTGAAGACAATTGTAACACCCAGCCCTTTTGTTACCACCATATCTGGAACCGTCTGTGAAAATAAGCTCCCAGGTAATTTATGAGTATCAAACTGGGCAAATGCCCTTGCGGTAGAGTTTTTACTTTAGTAAGCATCGGATGATGTCGAAATCTTTGATGTAGCTTAATATACGAAATAAAGGTGATTGCTTGCTACATCAGTTTTTTTGTTGAAAGCAGGATTCGACGTGAGAGATAGCTTTTATTGGCGAGGTGGGAAATGCACGGATGCTTTTTCTCCTCTGCTACATAGTAAGGTGTTTCTAGCAATTTAAGATGTTTTTTTGCGCAGTGTCCATAAATTACGAGCCCAAAGTCAACTTTTACATAATGACAGTTCTGCTTAAAAGTAGGTTTATTGTAAAAAATCATTCCAAATATTTTCAATGTATCAGTATAGGGGAGGGGTTTTAGACAAGGAGAGCGTTGGATGTATGTATTTATTTGTATTTTCTGCATATGTGAAAAAATTACCTTTTCAGCTTAAATCTGAGCTTCTGAAGATTTGATCGTTTAGTATGTTAGAAGTCAAGTCCTTAG